GTATTTAGTGTTGACTTAATGCAACTTCTCACTTTTCTCCTTGGGTTATGAGTTTTATCCTACCTTGGGTTTTACCATGCCAAATTTTGTGAGTTTTACTACTTATGCCTTCTTCCGTTTATTTTTGAAGCTAGCATTTATTCATTTTGTCGACAACTTCAACAACTATTTCTATATCATCATATAAAGATCCGATGTGCTATTTATTTGAGTATTTATACACTCAAGGGGGAGTGTTGCAATCATAATTCCATTAGGAGTGTGCTTGTGTTAATTTTAGTATATTATGTGTAGGAATCCAATGATATCTAGAAGATCTTTCCTTAGACAACATGTATTACTTCGAGAGGAAGTTTCTCTCCCTTAATAGTATAAATAAAGGCACAAGGCATGAAGAATATCACTCAATAAATTCTCAAGCCCTTTTCTTTTCTCTAGCTGATCTTCCTCTTTCTTCCCTCACTAAATTCATACTACAACGCGAATGAACTAATCCATCATCCAACTTTCCTTTATAAATTTCGATATGTTTCAAGAGTTTTAGTATAATCATATTGAACTGGATTGTGAGCAACATCAATCATGACCTTATTTTTTACACTACAACTACATGTATTTTCAGTCTAAAATCCAAATCTGTCAAAACATTCTAAATCCACAATAATTCAAAAATACCATGGGACATACGACATACCTCGATATTCAACCTGAGTACTAGATTTTGGTACCACATTTTATTTCTTGCTCTGCCAAGTAACTAGATTGCCATGCTAGCATCTATTAAACATGGATACCAAAATAATTTTACACTTGCATAAAATTTAGGGTAGTGCTACCTCATCCATTTTTACTTCTCTCACACCGTTCTCAAATTTTCAATTATCGGATCGAGTGAATTAAAGAAGATCAATGGTCCAAATTAACAAGGGTGTGTGAAAAGTAAAAATAGGTGTGTAAATACTAGCACTTTCCAAAATTTATTCCTGCACGATGTGTTAGATTGATCGTTGAATGATCACTACTTCTGTAATAGTATTGGGTGGTTTTATTTTTGAATTATTATGTATTTAAACAGTTAACTTTTTGGGATGGGAAGTTGCACCGTTTGAATGAACCTTTTTATGATGGGAAGTTGCACTGTTTGAATTACCCTTATTCTCCATCTATTTAAGTTGTCTTGTGGGTTTTTGTTTCATTACAAAACCACAAGTTCAATTTACATCCTAAAAAAAAAACCAAAAGTTGAAAATTATGAAGAAAGGGCGCACAACCTTTTCCTCCATTTTATCTATTTTTGACGACGTTCTTATTAAAATTCTCATCATCATTGCTTCCTGCTCATTAAGGGACCTCTTTTCGGTGAAAATGGTCTCGAAGAAGTTCAAGGAAATAGTCGAACACTCTCGCATCTACCAACACATCAATATTACAGACTTTGAGACCATCAACCCGCTTAGATCATGAGGGGTGTCTAACAAATTAAGTCTCAAACTTCATCAATCATTGCATCCAACGCCATAACCTCAAGGCCCTTTACATGGTGGGGTTGCGATACTTCTTCCGATACAACAAGGAAGAAGCCGAAATTAAGTGGCTTTGGGGTGCAATCTCCGAAGGCCATCAAGTAGCAACATACGCGTACGGTGCAATCTTGGTGTGCCATGGGTGGGATTCCAAGCACTAAGGGCTCAAACTTCTCTATTATCTCAACCGTCGTAACTCGGGACTGTTGAGTGCAATCGAATGCCAAAAGAGGTTTCGCCTGTGTTTGTCGGGTTTTTGGGTGCATAGGGAAGTAAGGGCCCAAATCCTAAAACTTCACCATGAAAACGCTGCCAGCAAACCTTGCAGTAACTATGGAAGCCCACAGGGTCCGGTCATACTCCGAACACACTGGGATACATCTGACCATGAAAAATTCACTACCTGTAATGCATGTAGATGACATCAGGAAGTGAATATATTTTGTGATATATTATGTAGTAGAGATAGGCACTAAGTTTGTTTTTTTTGTTCGTTTAATTTTATTATAATCACAACGTTTAAATTCCAATGCAGCCTTTTGTTTTCCTTTATGTCTCTCATGTACTATTGAATTTGTAATTCTATGGACTGTGTACTTTAAATTTTTCTTCGTAAAGATACACAAACAAGAAGCTTTAAAAACTAGGCATAATTACAAAAAAACTAGCCTAAGGTGTCATCATTACCATGTCATTGATCTACCTTGCTACCACTTTTTCCCACTCATCAATGCTTGCCTATCTTTTTATTATTTTATTTAGATATTGTTCATGAATAACTGACATATAAAGAAAATGCATATTCCATGCACAAAACATGCACAGTAAATGCACATAGACATGCACATGTAGTGCATATGATATGCCCAGTATATGCACACGACATCTTCATATCCCCTAAATGAATCCAAAAAGTATGAATAATAGTTAATGACGGGTCCCATAGGTTTGGTGTGTGGTTCGGTTCTCGAGGGTTGTCTAAATTAAGATTGATGATAGTTAGTTATTGTGCATGCATGGTGGGGTTGTAAAGTCTTAACCAACTTATCTAGTTAGTTATTGTACATACAAAAACAAGAAGCTTAAAAAATTACGCATAATTAGGAAATTGTGATAATTAATTACATGAGAGATAGTGTATTTATTCATGCTTGTCCAAGCACAAACCACCTCATCTAGTTGCAGAATGATGAAGAAAGGCAGAACTATGAAGAAAGGTAGAGCGATGAAGAAAGGCAGCGACCTAACTTTCATACAATTTCTTTCGGATGAGCTTCTTCTAGAAATACTCACCAAGGTTGCTTCCCACTCATTTCGTTCGCTATATTAAGCAAAAATGGTGTGCAACAAGTTCAACCAACTTGCCTAGCATGACCGCATCTTCGAACACATTAGCATTAGTAGATTTGAAAGGGTCGACCCGCTGACTTGATGGAGGAGACATGAAGAAGTGTACTAGTTCTTGGAACGATGTAGGGAATGCAACAATCACGAGGCCCTGTACATCCATAGGATGCGATGGTACTTCCAATACAATAATTTCGAACTTGGAATTGAGTCTTTGAAGACAGCGATCTCCAAGGGTCATCAAGCATCAACGTACATCTACGGTGCAATCTTGGTGTGCCATGGGGGATGAAAAAGAGATAGGCCTCAGCCTTCTGCATTCTCTCAACCGTCAGAAATTGGTGAATGCCATTTGAGTGTACAGAAAGAGCTCGACAATTTTTTTGGTCAATTCTCGTGGAGATGGAAGTTAGAGGTAGAATAATAAAACTTCACAAGGACAATGCTGCCACCAAAGCATGCAGTGACTGTGGAAGTGCACAAGGTCTTTTCACAGTCCGACCCCCTTGGGATTACTGGTGCCATGACAAATTTAGTAGTTACGAATTGTGTAGATGGCACAGGAAATGAACATATTTTATGATACGTTAAATGGTTTTAATAGGGACTAGATTTGTTTCTTTTTCTTTACTTTTCTGAAAATTTAGTTGTCATGTACTTTTTGTTAGTAAATGGAAAAGGGAGAAGTCTTTGGTAACATTAACAATGTTTGCTTTCTTAAATGAAAAGATGTATAACACAAAGCATGAACAAAGCATGCTTAAGTCTCCAAAACCTAATGTCGTATGTTCGAATCATATAGCGCGTGATTCTGTATTGTTGTTAACCCCATTACATCAAACTTGGACTAAAATAATTAAACAAAAACCTAAATTTGACCTCCATTATGCAATCTTGTGTGCATACATTGTATAATTTTCTGGAAAATTGAAGCCAAAGCCAAGAAATATTTGACTGCAGCCATAAAACCCACGAACTCACAAAATACAAGCAAAACTAAGAAACCCAGCAGTCATAAAACATATGAAACTAGAAATTAATACTCATAAATATTGACTTTGAAATCAAAACCCATAAATAAACTTTTAAAAAATTAAAATAATTATTCCCCAAATATCGTAAAGAAACCCGCATCACTCGTACTAGGCTTTGGCTCATGATGATTCATCCAATCCCATTTGCGACCTTCATGAGAGCTTCGGTGGATGAATTATTATCCATTAAACACCAAGCTTTTGAGATTGTGAGTTTGAAATTGTACTGCCACCCAAAAGTTAGATGTGATCTGAATCTTGGGTCACTAGTTCGAAAACAGAGGAGAGAGGGGACTAGCGAAAGGATGGCTATTGGTGAGAGAGAAACAGTTAGTGATGGTGAGGTGCGTTGTTAAACGGTGAGTGCATCGTTAAGGTTCTTCGACAGAGAGAGAGAGAGAGTAGAGAGTAGAGAAAGAAAAAAAATAAAAAAATTAGAGGAAATAACCCATTTATATATGAGGGAAATTAGGTGATTTTCAGTTGTAGGAAAAATCCTAATTCTGTCATATTGTTGTGCATATTCAAAAAATCCTATTTTTGTCCAAAGATTAAGAAAATGTTATATTTTGAGGTATTTCCCAATAAAATAAGGGGCTCGATTTCCCAACTTTAATCCCAAATTCAATCTGATTAAAAAATTTTTTTTATTAAAATACATGTGTTACACGTATAGTAAGACAAATAAAGGGTTGCTTGTGATGGAGAGAGCCTTTGACCATATTAGGCTGCGATGTCACTTGTAATCATGGAGTCCAACATACCACGCTATAAAAATCTACATGATCTACAATTCGATTAATTTATTTGATTCTGGATTATTAGTACTAATTAAATATCACATAATTACTGCACGTGATAAAAATGCTACAAAGAGTTCTTAATTATTGCACGCACTGCCATGAAATTTGAAAGTCCATTGAAGCTGCCTGGCGATGCTTATATAAAGCTATAGCTTTTGTAACAAATTAAGTAACGAATTAAACAAAACATGATCACAAAAAACTCTCTCCACATAATTCACAAGAATCTTCAACTCTAACCCATTCATTCAATTTCGTGCATTATATACGTACATAATATACAGTTTAGAAACATGTACGGACAGGAAACCCTAGAACTAGAATCGGACGATTTTGCTCTTCTTGAATCCATTCACCAACATCTTGATTACTTGGAGCCTCAGGCAATGAGTGTTAGCGCAGATAATGTTCCAGTCATATTTCCAGTTTTAACAACCGAAGATTGGTGGGAGTCATTGTTTGTAGTCACTGATCATGACGCGCATGCTACCTTTGGAGGTTTGCATGGCGTTGTAAAGAATGAAGCAGCGGTGGCCCATGAGGTTTACGCTGTGAAACATTATAGAGGGGTAGAAGGAGGCCGTGGGGGAAGTACGCAGCAGAGATAAGAGATCCAGCGAAGAACGGTGCGAGACTGTGGCTTGGGACTTATGAGACGCCAGAGGACGCGGGGTTGGCTTATGACCGAGCTGCGTTTAAGCTACGTGGCTGCAAAGCCAAGCTGAATTTTCCTCACTTGATTGGCTCGAGTAGCATTGAGCCCGTTAGGGTTACCCCTAAGCGGGGCCGCTTGCCTGCCCACTCCTCTCCGTTTGCATCGACATCGGATGGTTATGAAACTCAGATGCCAAAGCGAAATAAGGCTGGGATTGAATACTTGGCTGCTTGAGATAGAGTATAATGTAACAAGTTATGAAATTCTTGCTTTTTCTTTTCCTCATGTTTAATATTTTACAGTGAAAAAAAGACCTTGAAAAAACTAATAGGATCTTGAAAAAATCTCATAGACCTCGAAAAACTCTGAAGTTGAACAAAGAGAACCCCTAGGCACTAGTGGAGGGGGAGGAGGTGTAGCGCTGTCTTTTTTCCTCCCCTCCCCTCCCCTACTCCTCTTTTTCTTTTCATTTAGTGTAATTTCTTCGGGTGAGTAATGTTCCTTTGTGGTGAATTTTCCTATGGTGATTTGATATGAGGTCTGCTCATATAATTTGAGTTCACCATTACAACTTTCATGTCCCTCCATTACAACGTCATTGCGACATACTCATATGTTTTTGGGTAATAAGTGAAATCATGGCTTTTGTTCACTTTTATGCGCAGTTGGATCAGTGAAAGTTTGAGTTCACAAATCCGTCAAATGTTACACATGGTCTCCAAGGCAAGACACGAGGAGATCTATGGCTGCATGGCTTCGATTCATAGTTACAGTCAAGGTTTAGGATTGTGGATTATGACTTTAAGGTTTTGGCTAATGTGGATTTTATGTGCTTTGCTTCACGTTATCTTGAATTCGGTGATATATTGTAGAATGTCTTTGATATACTGTTAAAGTTTATGTAATGAATATCGTTTCCTAAAAAACATATACTACAATGAAATAAATTTGCGATTTTTGAGAAATGATAGGATATTTTATAGAAGTCCTTTACAATAGTTTATTATTTTGTTAAATGAATACTATTTTTAGAAGCAATCCTATTGAGCAAATTTTGAGAATTAATTTCCTATTTTATACTGTCAGGGGTTGTAATTGATTATAAGCCTCATTAAGAAACAATTCTTCTATGTCTATTAGAGTGTCATACTCATATGATGTGTATGATAAATGAAAATACGTATTTGGAGATTCATACTGGATTGTGATCTGTTACTATTTACCGTCACTGATTAAGGTATTGTTGGGGCATAAATTAACCACATCCAATAGAAGAAGGACACCTGGACAATTTGCTAAATATGACGGTTTTACTCTTAACGTTGTTAGTAAACCACAAAACTACCTAAGGAAGAGATGTAGTCTGCCCTAAGGTAATTGGGCTTTTTTTTGCAAATGGTTGTAGTGTATCGACTATTCGGAGTCTCCCGTTAGGTATCTGGCACAACTGTGCTCTTACCAACAAGGTCCTACAAAATTGCTAGCTGGCAGGACTGTGGAGTCTGGCATGCATCATTAAGGACTGCCCAGTACGCTCTGCAGCCTCCCCTCACAGCTACCTGCTAGGGTTTTTTTTCCTATAAATAACAGGTCAAACAGAGGAAATAACAATCGCCACTTACTTTTAGAACTCTGTCAAGTTTTATTTTTGTCTCAACTACTTTTTTTTTTCTTAGGCATCAGAAACATTTTGGTAGGCACACTCCCCCATTTTTCTAGGCTTTCGTTAATTAGGATGAGGCTGTTTGTTTTCTTGTAGGTAGAATTTCGTCAAATCAGCCATGTACGAAATTCACAAATTACTGTTTTCCTTTTAGAGAGAAATTTAAGCTATACTCCATGTGTACTTAGAGTTTTGAGCAAAGAAAGTAAAATTCTAAACTATTTTTTTGGTCTTCTTCATTCTTAGTTCATCGTTCATCGTTCATCATCTTTGTTCATAACGAATAACATGGTGGACACAAGAAGAACCATGACAAAGAATAACAACTCCCAATCCTTGCAATCTAAGATTGCCATGGATTCTGAGAGGCCCCAGAACATGAATTCGGATTTTCTCTATCATGCCCCCTGCATACCTTTTACTCAAGAATTGGAGCAACTTCTTGTTGGATATATGTCAACAATCTATGATAAATTTATATATGCTAATAAATAATAAATGCGAACAACTAATTAATAGTGTTTGAACAATGAAATAATATTAAACAAAAATATTGAAGATCGAGGCTTGCGTACCGCAATGTCCTTGAAACGTAAATTTTGTCCCTACTCAGTGCTTGTATTTCTATGGACGTCTGCTTCACCATGATTCAACGATCAAGTTATAATTTTAGCACCGGAAAAATGACTTATGGCGAATTTATGTGTGGTTCCCTCAGTAAGAAGGTTTATGAATGTAGAAGAAGAATTTGATATTTTCTGTGTTCTAAATGCCATGTAGATGGATGTATATATAGTGGGATTATGCCTGTTTGCAATAGGTATGAGAATGAGATTTGATTGTTGGAAGACTTCTCTTCAGAGGGGTGCTGTGCTATCTGCATTTTTTCATTGACTTCAAACTTCATCTGAAAAGATGAGTCTGTTAAAAAATAATTTAATTAAATTCAAAATTAATTAATTAAAGAATTAATTAAAGAATTTAATTTTTAGAGCCCAAGAGCCATCTTTTGATAATTAATTATATATTAATTAGTAATTAATTATCAACTAATTAGTACACCTCAAAGCCCAACCCCAAGGTTGAGCCCAATTTCATTCTCAATGGTCCATTACTCCAATCACTATCTATAAGAGAACAAAGCCTTAGAAAGTGAGAAAACCTTTTAGGAATGGCCAATGTGGGATAATGAAATTTCTACTCAAAATTTCCAACAATACCCCACATTTGAGTTGAAATTTCATTCAAACTCCAACAATACCCCACATTTGAATGAAAATGTATGACTGGGCTGCCTAAAACAGAGAGAGAATGGACATGATATGCATCAGGTGAAGTGTCTTTTGGACTTGAACTTACCCTAGTGAAAACATATCGGGTTTACATGGTGACGTAGTGGATGTGGAAGATCTTAAATTATTCACCGTAGTAGTAAACTGAGATAATATGCTACACACATAGCATGTCTGCCACACGTCAATTCATACGATTATGTTCATTTTGGCCCGAACAGATCCCGAATTTCGTAGGAGCTTTAGAGAATTTAGCCATTTCAATTCTCATAAATGAGGCCCCATTTACTCCTATATAGGTGACATTAATTAAGAATAGTTTGCCATATTCCTCTTGATAACAAGATATTAACGTCATTAAATGTATAAAACATAACCCCTCACAATACACATTTTATCATAAGAATGGGTAAGTTGTGTGTTCAACTTGTGAATCAAACTCAACCAGTTTGCCTATTGAACATAGACCATGGGATCTCCAATCAGCTAGGTTAGGTTTCTGTCCAGTCTGATTCATTGAATTGGCTTAAGACACATTCCCCTCGATGTAAATAATATTTGCTCTCTTGGTAGGCTTTATGTCAAAAGATCAACTATATTTTCCTTTGACTTTACATAATCAATGAATATTATTCCATTGGAGAGCAACTTCTTAAGAGTATTATGCCGACACCTGATGTGTCGTGACTTTCCATTGTATACATGACTTTTGGCCCTTGATTGCGTAGCCATACTATCACAATGTATACATATAGTAGTTACAATCTTTGGCCACACTGGAATATCTTCCATAAAATGTTTGAGCCACTCAGCTTCTTCTCTAGCCAAATCTAAAGCTATAAACTCTGACTCCATGGTGGAACAAGCTATACATTTATGTTTAGAGGATTTCCAAGATATTGCTACACCTCCCAAGGTAAAAACATATCCACTTGTCGACTTGGATTATGTAGTGTCAGAAATCCAATTGGCATCACTGAAGCCTTCTACAACAGGTGGATACTTTGTGTAGTCTAATCCGTAGTCAAGTGTATTTTTCAAATACCGTAACACTCTTACTAAAGCATCCCAATGCTCTTGTGATGGATTACTTGTATATCTACTAAGCCTACTTACTGCATAAGCTAAGTCGGGCCTAGTTGAATTCATCAAGTACATTAGACTTCCAATTACTTGAGAATATTCAAGTTGAGATATGGCAGTGCCTTTATTTTTCTCCAACTTGCACCCAGCATCAAAAGGAGTTGTAGCAGGTTTGCAGTCAAATTGACCAAACCTTCGTAATATTTTTTCTGCATAATGGGACTATGTAAGGACATACCCTTCACTATTTCTCTTAATTTGAATTCCTAAAATGATATCGGATTGACCTAAGTCTTTCATGTCAAAACTTGAATTCAACATTTTCTTTGTTTTATTTATTACATCTTTATTGCCTCCCATTATGAGCATATCATCCACATACAAGCAGACAATAACGCAAGTTTTATCATTACTCTTAATGTAGACACACTTATCAGATTCATTTATTTTGAACCCATGTGTCAACAAAGTATGATCAAATTTCTCGTGCCATTATTTTGGTGCTTGTTTAAGTCCATATAATGACTTAACTAATTTGCACACTTTGCTTTCTTGTCCTTTAAGCACGAACCCTTTAGGTTGTTCCATGTATATTTCTTCATCTAGTTCTCCATTTAAAAATGTTGTTTTTACATCCATTAGATGTATATCAAAGTTGTATACAGCCGCAATCGCTATTAACGTCCTAATTGACGTTATGCGAGAAACTGGAGAATAGATGTCGAAATAATCCAACCCTTCCTTTTGGCGATAACCTTTGGCTACTAAATGTGCCTTGAACTTATCAATGGTTCCATCCGCCTTAAGTTTCTTCTTGAAAATGCATTTATGACCAATTGGTTTACTACTGGGAGGTAAATCAATCAATTTCCATGTGTTATTTTCCATAATGGATTCCATTTTCACTTTTAATTGCTTCCTTCCATAAAGGAGCCTCGGAAGAAGACATTGCTTCTTTAAAAGTTCTAGGTTCATTCTCGGACAAGAAAGCAATGAAATCTGGTCCAAAGTTTTTAGAAACTTTGATTCTTTTTCCTCTTCTTGGTTCCACATCATTTTCTTGGACACCAGAAGAAGAGGCTTCATCATGACTATGATCATGAACCCTCTTTGTATTAGAACCAGATTCATTTTCTTTGTAAGGAAATTTATCCTTAAAGAATTCTGCATCCGCTGATTCTAATATAGTGTTAACA